TGTATACTAATTTAAGAGTTTTGATTTATTTTACTTGTAATATTGAATATGTTTATACAATTGGCTAAAAATACTCAGAAATTTTGATGCAGTTTTTGTGAAAGATAAATTATCAAAGAAATTTTATTTCTTTCCATAGTCAGATGATTTTTCTATGCACCAATGAAAAAGTTTAAAAAATGGAAAGTATTTTGAAATTAAAAAATATTTTGTTTTTGTTAAGATTATTAAATTTTAGAAATGTTTCAAAGAAATTGTTTCTCTTATATATAAAGCAATGAAATTTTTGAATTCAGATGTAAATGAATGTGAGCGAGGTGAGCATAACTGCCACCGTAAAGCTATTTGCATGAACTTGGAAGGGTCATTTGAATGTCGATGTCAAGATGGATATGAAGGAGATGGAACTGATTGCCAAAGTAATTATCATTTTTTTAAAGTTTCTTGGATTTTTTGAATTTTTTCGTTTTGTAAAAATTTTTCGAAATTTATGAATTTTTGAAAATTCGAGGGGGTTTATGCAAAATATTTAAATATTTGATCAGATTTTTTTTTTGAATAAAAGTGATTACATCAAATATTGATAAGATAACTTTTCATTTGAAATATTGCGAAAAATCAGATTTTTTTGTTGCGATTACTTACTTAAACTGCGAATAAGAGAGGATGTTCATTCAAAAGCTTTTTGCAATTATTCATTAGTGCTAAGTAAAAAGTATGCAGCCATGCTTCAACATTTTGTTGACATCAAAAATATCACTGAATACTATTTGATATTTACTCAGGCTTCAATTCGTAACTTTAAAATTCATGCAAAAAATTTTTCATATGTTTAGTCAATTCAAAAGTTTTGGTAAATTTTTGCAGAAATGGGAGGTGAAGATGAAAAACCTGATGGGAGATCGCCTGAAGGGGCAAAAAATTGTCGAGAGCATCAAGACTGTCATCAGTGGGGAGAATGTGTTTTTGGAGAGAATGGAGAAGCTGGTTACTGTAAGTGCCGTGGATGGTATGTCGGGGATGGTGTACATCACTGTGGACCACCTGCAGGTTCGTTTATACCGATGTTTTGAGGAATTTTTCAAGATGTTTCAGAAATAAAAGTATAGTGCTCACTTTTATACAGCAAAATAGTATATTTGCAGAGACTGAAATCAAGCAAGTGGTTATTGAAGATTCTCAGCCAGGACAAATTGAACAGACATGCGCAGGTTATAAATGTCATGAAAATGCCTACTGTGACGTTTCTTCAGGACACGTAAGTTTCATTATTGAAAGAAAAATGAAACTATTTTTTTATTTAGTTTTTTTAAGAACAAAAATGGAAAGAAAAGTTGCAAAATGATGAAAATTTGAAGTTTATAAAAGCGAAAATTTTGGAATTTTTATCTCATTTTCAACTTTTTTGACCTTTGCTACTTTAAATATGAGATTTACAGCAAACTTCTTTAAAGTGAGTAATTTAGAGATTCAAATAATATGATATGTCTCCTTTTTAAGAATGGTATTTGGGGTGAAAGTGTCTTTTCTGTTTCACGTAAGAATTCTTGATTTCACACGGGATGAATATGCAATGCATACATAACTGATTGACTGACTCAGATATTGTTAATTACATGAGCATAAGTTATTTGTTCCTCAAAAATAATGTGATGTGTTTGTTTTACAGAAATTTGTTTATAAAAAAGCAAAAGTATAATATTCTGAATATTTTTCATGTACTGATTAATTTTACGCAGGATTTACAAATTTTTGAGCTTCAGGAGCGTTGTGTTTGTCAAAATGGTTATTACGGAAATGGCATCAGTTGTGTAATTCACGTGAACCACCGGTCAGATTCAAACGTTTCTATCGGTAGTTATATTTTTATTTATTTTCATTCTTCTTCTATTTCTTCTACTGCCTTAATAATGGATTATGAAAATTTCGTTAATTTTTACTTTGGAGAAAATCAATGTAATTTTTTAACCATCGATGACAGAAATGACCCCTGGTAAGTTTTGGAAATTAATTTGGCTTTGCTTGATCTGAGAAAAGAGCCATAATGATGTGATGTGACCAATTCTAGAAAGTAATTGTCGAAAAACTAATAAAATTCATATCAAATTTGATTTAAATTATAGATCGGCTGTGTCGCTCACATGAAGAATGTGTAGAGCATAGCAGTTGCATGTATAGAAATGAATTCGGTGAATATCGTTGCACATGTATGCCGCCATATACGAGTAATGGCGTCACGTGCGTGAAATTAACGCAAGATAGCAGTAAAACTTTGATTTAGTTTAGAAACTAATTTAAAAACTTTGAAACTATGACATAAACTACATGATAGCAAGCGATACAAATATACTTATACATGGGGTTTTTATGATAAAATGGAATCAGCTGACACTGACAGAAATCATGATTCAACTCAATAAAGTTGATTATTCTACAGTTAGACTTCTGATTAAATTTATTGCAAAAAAGTCAAAAGTCTCAATTAAATATCTGAAAATTAAAGTTTGTTACACAGTTTTTGCATATTTATATTCATTTTGCAAAATAACTTTTAGTTAAACTTTCAAATATTTTAAAAATTCATTTTCAAATTATTTGTAAATCTGTGCTTGAATATGCCATTGTACCGCTTGTTTCAGTTTTTAATGAAAAATCTATCGCTTAGCTGTAAATTATAAAATCCATCCCTTTCGCTTGCGAGTTTTTCAAATGTATTATAGATTCTAGTCTGGACTATACGGAAGACGACTACTGTAATGTAGTCAATAATTGTGACACAAATGCTGACTGCATCTTCGAAGTAAATGATGTCGGTGAAGTTACGTATAGATGTCGATGTCGTATGGGATTCTTAGGTGACGGTCATCGATGTACGATTGCTTCCCTAGATGACATCTTAGCGTGTATGCTATGATTTAACCTTCCTTATTTTTTCCTTCAGCTTCTATTCCGCTATTTTAATATATTATATAAAGCGAAATTTCTGCGCGATTCATTTAAATGGAATAGAGAGATGGATTCTATCGACTGCATTTGTTGTTGCTTTCTTAATATCCATATATCATACTTTCAGAATCTTTGATTATCCTTTAATTGTGTGCTTTTATTTGAATTCAGTTTTTCTGATATTATATTTTGAAATGTAGTAAAAGTTGACTGAAATAATTTCACGTCAGAGAACTTAGCTTTATATATAAAAATGTAATTTTATTGATTTAAGTCAAAGAAAATGTTTAGCCGTGAATGAGATCTGGAAAGCCTTCTTGCAAAGACTGCTTTACTATGCAAAGTTTACAGATAACTTGCTAGGATGTGGTCAGTTAAGTAGTTGTGATTCCAATGCTGAATGTGTGCTTGATGAATCTACTGGCGACCAGTACTGCCAATGCTTGCATGGTTTCGACGGTGATGGTTACACGTGCAAAGCAGTGGAACAGCATCCAATTTTGGCATCTGAGATGCCATCTGGTTGCTTCTTCTACCTCCCATCACTTCTACCCCTTTATTTGCTAATTTACATGAGCATAATTGCATGGCTTTTAAATAAATATCAATTTCAATTTAATTTTTAGCAAGCTTTCGCTATTTACGCTTGATATAAAGGTGCAAGGGAGAAATTGTAGTTTCTGATTAATGAATATTGTTCAGTTATATATTTTGTTGGTTGACATAGAAATAAGAGCTAAAATTTTTTTGGGTACATTTAAAGTTACAGAAACGGGAGACGTTAAAACATGTCGTGAAGCAAGTGATTGTCATGCGAATGCTCATTGCGTAGTACAAGATAATTCATTAGATTATACTTGCAAATGTTTACCCGGCTATCACGGAGATGGCGTCACGAGATGTACCATTGCAGGTTTGCTACGCTTTGAGTAGTTCCTTCAACATGAATTTTATTGTGATATTTCGAAGGATTTATTGACTTCAGAAGGATTTAAAATATGATGAGTTATTCATTCTGCCAATTTTGGAAGGATAGTGAATATCTCAGTTTTGATGACGTAAAATAAATCACACGATTTTAACTGTTAAATGAAAATTATGAATCAATTGAAATATTGAATGTGGTGAATTGAAGGAATCTATCTATTATAGCTTTCTTGGTAACATTCAAGGGATTTGTTTTCAGTTAATTTTTTGGAAATAAAGGTTTAATTTGAAATATTTCAATATTTGTATTTTTAATTTTCAAGATTGAAAAAATCAGATTTTGTGAGATCTTCAGATGATTGCACGCCAAGTGATACCAGATCATGTCATGAAAATGCCCAGTGTATGTTTGATGAGGTTGAAGGTGCATATCTTTGCAAATGTTCGCAAGGTTACTGTTATCTTTTGATTTCCATAGTAAACGATAATTTTTCCTTTGTTTTTACTAACGCAAAATATTTATGATATTTTAAAAATTAAACTCTTACTGACAAATCTTGAAGGATACATTGGTAATGGACGAGTATGCACCGCAAGTCATTCCACGACATGTAATGAACAACCATCACTTTGCCATCAGAATGCAGAATGCATATTTGATTACAGTGAAGGGCGATTTAAATGCACTTGCATGGATGGTACGATTGGCGATGGATATACGGATTGTCGGAAAGAAGAAGGTCACTTTTATATAAAGCTTTGTAAAAAGAAGAGAAAATTTGTAAGAATTATTTAAAAAATATTACGTGAACTAATAAAATCTGTGACGAATTACGTAATTAATCTAAACTGAAATAAATTGTATGACTTATAAACTAGAAAAAGATCAAATACGAATGTCATTCATTGCTTAAGTACCAGTCACAATAATAGGTCATGCTGTATAGTAAATATTTTACTTCATTATTGAATTTCGATTTAAAGTATTAAAAGTAAACTATAATTTTATGTTGTCATTTCTTTAACTTCCAGCACTTTCATCAGCCATTTATCTTCACGTTACTACTTTTAATCAAATATGTATATGCAAATTTTATGCCGTAGCATGCCAACTAAATTTAGCATACACATTTCAATATCAGATGCAAATTTAAAATGTTAACTTAGTTGCTTACAAGTTTTAGCAACGAAAACAAATCAAATTTATTAATGGTCTGCAAGATTTATTAGTTTATATAGCATTTGAAGCAATGTCACGTGTTCAACGTTTATTTACTCACTAAAAAATTTATTTCTGCAGAATCACATTATTGTGGCAAATGCTCGTCTCACGCACGATGTATACACGTACACACAGATAATTCTTGGCGATGCAAATGCATCCCAGGTTATGTTGGAAACGGACACATGTGCATACCATATAGTTTGTTTTTCAACTTTAACTGATGCATGATGTCACGTATTACTGCATTTAAGTAAATTCTCACCCTGCTGAAATTGTTACTTACGATTAAAATGCACGTCACACTTCACTTCTCTTTTGCATTTAATAAGCTATCACAAGATAATAGTTCAATTTGGTGATCGAGTTTATTCTTCTCTGCTTCACATGGTGCTTTGTTTAAATATGTTATTTGTGGTGTGCAAGCTGTATGTAATTTTTTTCTCCACGTAAATCACGTTTTCATAAAGAGCCAAGTTTTGCAAATTTCGAGATAGCAAGCCTTTTGTAGATATAAATGAATTACAGCAAGCTGTTTGGATGATCGATCATTGTGTGATGAACACGCCGAATGCGTGCCAAACGAATATGGTCACTATGTTTGCAATTGTCACTATGGATATCATGGAAACGGTCGAATCTGTGCACGTATGTTGAACGTATCATAAAAATACTTTCTAAAACAATAATTTAGTACAAAAGTTATAATTAATAGTATTTGTTTAAAATGAAATGCTTAGTCATGATTGGCATGAATTAAAAATAAAAACAGTAAGTTTTGTAAGTAGTATATTTTTAGCCGATAGCGAGAGTCGTGAAGAAACATTATTTATTTGTCGTGGCATGACAATAGTTCAGCGAAGTACCAATCCTGATTTGCCTGGAAAACAGGTAAATCAAAATTATTCTTCATTACAAAGACTGTAGTAACTATTAATGAAGGCTAAAATGGTTTCAAACATACTTTGCTTTTATGAGCTGTCATGTTTCAGCTTATTGTGGTTCCACACCAAATCGCTGTCGGAATAGATTTTGACTGCCAAGAGGAGCGAATCATTTGGAGTGATATCGCTGGTAAATTAGCGGAAATTTAAATTTAAATTTAAATGCAAATAGAAATATCAAAAGTTTGAGAGATTAAAACATCACTAATTATTTGAAAGAATAGAAATTAATATTTTAAAATACATTCGTCTCTGAGCTTGCGATTAATAGCGCTGAAAAGTTTATTGTTTTAAAAATTTCGAATAATTAACTCAATTTAAGGTCATTCAATTATGTCTGCATCGATAAATGGCACCGATGAAAAGAAATTCTTAGATTCCGTCCTAAAAAGTCCAGAAGGTGTAGCCATTGATTGGTCTTCACGTAATGTTTACTACACGGACTCAGTGAAGGACGTTATCGGCGTTGCTAGTCTAGATGGAAGGTATCATAAAACATTGATCAATGAAGGATTAGTGAATCCACGTGCATTGGCTATTGACCTCAATGAAAGGTAGTTTTTGTCTACTACATTTTTTGATTGAATTACTCATCATGTTTAGAATTTCTGAATATTTTAATCGAAATTGTTGTCAGATTCTAAAATCATGATCAAAAATATTAAAATTATGCGTATAAATTAGTAATTCGAAGTCGTATCAATTTAGGTATTTGTACTATTCTGATTGGTATCGTGAAAATCCCGTCATTGGGCGAGTACGTTTGGATGGCACTGAGATTTCAGCATTTATTACTACAGATATTAATTTACCAAATGGTATTATTTTTTTGCATTCAAAGTAAAAATTGAACTTTGAAATAAGGATTGAAGTTTGACCTACAAGAAGCAAAAATTGCAAAGAATCTATATCAAAGTAGGATGAAACATTTGAAAAAAGAAAGCATTACATGTAAAGGATTCTGAATCACAACAAAAAGGAACTTGCCTACAACAAACTTTTTAATATCATGTGAAAACATCATGGCTTCTGTAATGAAGGCGAAATCCTTTTGGAAACAATTTACATCATAATATCAATTTAGGTCTTGCAATGCTCACAGAACGACGTGAACTATGTTGGGTTGATGCTGGCTTGCAGCAATTATCGTGTATTAACGTGAATGGACAAAATCGCCGCATAGTTTACGCACCGCTTCAGTATCCATTCGGATTAACTGCTCATAATGAGCAACGCTTCTACTGGACAGATTGGAGCGAGTATGTCTGTATACTTCTTTTTTCATTTTAAACTTTAACTTTTTGCTTTTTAAATTTTTTTCTTTTTTAAAATAATACTAGCAAGTATGTTTGCAGCAACAAAATTCATTCTGTTTCAATTTACGGCAAAGATTATAAAACATTTGCAACAACAATAGGTGGTTCTGGACGATTGTATGGAATCATTTCTGTACCTCTTCAATGTAAAGGACGTAAGTTAGAATACTTTACTTTACTTTTTATATCTACAAAGTTTGCTAATTATTTAACCTGACTCTTTGAAAATGGTAAACTAAACAACAAAGTTAGCACAAGTATGGAAGCGTATACCCACTATTTATACTGTAATATATGTTTTTGTCAAAAATAAACCTGGTTTCTTGTACGTCTTATAATATTTTAGATTCCATTTTCATAATCAATTCATCACCAGTATTTCAGTTGCTACTACATGTGCTATAAACAATGGAGGATGTGAGTATTTGTGCTTACCTGGAAAGAATGATATTACTTGTGCTTGTCCGGATAATGTTAATCGGTGCTAAGCTGATTTATAAATCAGTAATTAGCTCAAGAGTGATTTAAATTTTGTGCTATTCGCTTTTATTCCGTAATCAAGATAATCCTGTTTATGAAATGATTTTGATCTGACTTGCATCATTCGCTCTTAAAGTTGTTGGAAAATTTCCATGTTAAGCAGATATAGTTTTTCAAATGCTGATTTTAATGTTTATTTTCAAAATTTAGATATGAAATTAAAATTAGAATAAAATTTCACAGTTGCAATCGGTGAATAATACTTCAAATCGTTCTTTATAAATAATTTTAATTTACGATGGTTTTACTTCTTTTTGCCATTTTTTGGAGCTATTTATGATTAAGGTATTTATGCTTGCTGGAATTCCAGAAATGAAAAAGTTTATCGAAGAGCTTTGGCTAAATTCTAAAAATCTTCCAATTCTGAAATTCATTATAACTTATTAAATATCGATGAATAAAACGTATACAAATCAAAACAAACAAACAAAAGTAAAACTTTTCATTAATAATAATTTTTTAGAATTCTTATATTTATGCTTTGTTATTATTTTGTTTGAATAAAATTATATCATACTTTTTATTAATAATGATTTTTTTTTTGGAATTCTATTTTCCACCTTAAGACATCGAATGAATGAATGTATTGTATTGTAGTATTTTTTGAAATGATTGTGAATTCTAAAACAAACAGAAGTTTTAAGCGTTGGAAGATTATACTTTCATACCAGTTGCTCTTCTCAGTTTTCATTTCAAAAGGCAAAAAAGTTCTTTGCTTCGAAAACTCATCTAAAATTTGGCAGATAAGATTAAAATGCGTGATTATCATATGTACAACAGTTGATTCGTTCGTGTTTCTTGTACAGAAACGCTTTAATGAAGTTCGTTGATTATTTGCTTGAGGTTTTATTTAAAATAGTAAACTAAATGTAGTTTGTTGTTTGGAAACAAAATAATTTTTATTTTTAACAAGTTCGATTATTTAGCAAAAATTTTACTTGAAGTTATATTTTCCCTAGCATTTGTGGAATCAACGCAGTGGTCCTTTTGTATTGTTACTTCTCTTAAGATAGTATCAGTAAATATTGACAAGAATAGAATAGAACATGAATAAAAAATTACTTTATATATATAGATCGATCGATAAATAGTGATTTTTGTACGTATAGTTTTCATGACTATTTTTTGTTCAGCTTACTTTAACCACAAAGTATCAGAAATCGAAATGAGTTTGAAGGCCATATTACCAAATAATAGGAGTAACTTTTCAGAATTTGATTTATACTTTAATTAAGTTATCGTTGCATTTATTTACAAAGTTTTGTATCAAAATTTCATTGATTGGCAATCGAACAGTAATAAAATTTTTAATTCTTCATTTTAATCAGAGGACTAATTCATTAAGACAATTCAAATTTCAAATAGAAATTACAAAAATCTAGATATGCTGTTAAAATTTGTCATATAATCAAAAAAGTTTTCGGTTTACAACAATTGATGATTAAGGCATTGGTCCTGACCAAAGTAGAATCAAATCAATAAGCATTAAACTCGAGATTCTTGTACTAAACATCACTCGTGGTTTGGTTTAGTTATCAAAGTATAATAAACAAGGCTAAATAAAGGTTAATGGTTCATTTGTTAAAGTCATTTTACGACTTCAACTGGCAAATTATAGTGATTTCATGGCTAAAAATACGATTTTCAATCGTAAAAGCAATAATATTTTACAACTTTAAGAGATAATTTTACTGCATTTTATAATTTCATGACTTTTGTAGCATTATAAAATAAGTGAGCCTTGTTTATCTGTCTTAAATGAAACAGTGAAATATTATTAGCTTATTTTTGTTTGAAAGAGTTCTTAGCGTTATTTTTGAAAAAACTATTATTATAGCTATTATTATTGATAATTTTATCAAATACAATAATAATAAATTTAGTCTTCAGAGTTTGGACAAGTTTTGGCAATTTGAAATTTTACAATATCAGCAAAAAGTAGTATGAAAAAGAGATTTAGCCCTGAAAACGTATGAAAAAAGTATAAAAGTTGAAGTAATTGTCTCGAGAAAATGAGTATTACTGATAGAATCCTCGAAAAGTACGTGCAGTCATTGCGCTCGTGAAAAACAAGACAGATTACTTTATAGTTTGTAAAAAGCAAAAGTTAAGCTATCAGTACGTGAAAATAACTTTGACATGCAAACAGAAAAGTAACGAATTAAAATTAGCAGTAAAATCTGTGATAATTACAAATATTTGTATTAAAAGGTCAAATATTTAAATGAAAAAAACATTTGTTTTTCTTTTTCTGTTTTTGCAGTATTAGCAGAAGTTGTTCTGAACAGCCCTCACTTCAGTAATTATAATTTTTATTGCAAGTCAGAAACTTTCACACTTTTTTCTGCTTCAGAATTTTAGACTGCAAAATTCTGAAGTTTCTGTTGTGATGATTGGAAATCAAAATTAAGAAGCATTTCTAAATATTAATAATTAAAAATAATAAATGTTTATTCTATATACATCTTTTAGTTTATTTATATCAAACGATCAAAATTGAAATAAAGATAACAAATGCGTGTATTTGTTAACCTTTGCTCATTTGAACTTTTTTACGATTATGATCAGTAAAAAATGAAAACAAAATCGAACTTACTTTCCAAATCAATGAAAATTAATCGTTTAAAGAAAGTTAGCAGTTCAGTAAATTACGTCAAAACGTGAATTATTACAAGAAAATGAAAAAACCAAACAAATATGTTATCATTTGATGCAATTTTATGATAGACTATGATAATTTTGCACTTCAACAAATTACAAAAGCAAAGATCGAGACTGTTAATTTAGTGCTTACAAAAGTAATCTGAATAAAATTTGCTCAAAAATATTTTTGTAATTTTTAATTATGAACAAAAATAAATTGCTATTTAGTGCTATTTTTAACAAAAACAAAAAACGATTACTTTTACAATTGGCATTTTTCGCAGTTTGATTTTTTCTCTTCATAGTAAAAATCAGATATAATATTAGCATAATATTTCTTGCATAATTGAATTTGTAATAAATAGGCTATTGCAATTTGCATTTTGTTTAATTTTTATAATTAAAATTATTAATGCAACTTTTTGATTGATATGCTCGCATTTTTGTATGCTTTAAGTCTATGCATTTTTGCAATAAATTTTGCAAAGTTACTTGTTTTTCTTAACATGAAAGAGAAAATAATAAAAATATTAAAAAATAAAACAAAAAGTTCATCAAAAAATTCAAAAACTGAGGTGTTAAAAAGTGAATCATAAAATCTTTTTAATTTTATATTTTTTTCTAATCTGTTTTTATATTTTAGCACAGAAATAGCTATTAAATAAAATAAAATCATTGCAAGCAGTGAATTATTTTGGCATAAATGCGTAAAGTTTTTCAAAAAGTGCCAAATTAGCTCCAAACGAACGTTTGATTTTAGGCGCATTTGGCCACAGATTATAATCTGAACAATACAGTAATCGCATCCATTTGTAATAATGTATCATTTTTTCTTCACGCCATAATGGGCAATTCCTGAACATTTAGTACAGTAATTTTAGTACAAAAACAACTAATACTTTTAAAATTTCACTTTTTTTTTGCAATAGTTTATGCTAACTTTAGCTCTACTGATTTTTAGTGCTGCAATTATTTAATAATTTTTAAATGCTATAAATTAAATTCCATTACACTCAACATATTTTATGGATCAATCCAAACCTAAAAGCTTCATCACGCGCTTCGTGTTCAGGACTACAATATGCTCGAAGTTGAGTATTGTATTGTCTGATAATTCTGGATAAGTTACGTTTATCTCGATCCATATCACTCAAAATGTCAGGAGTTAGTTTGTCTCGATTTAGATAACATCTTTCTACAGGTAAAACTTCGAATGGTGCTTCATCCTACAAACTTTCTTGCTCAAAAACCATGAATTTATGATTTTAAGCAAGAATTTTTCGATTCAATCTTTACCCATCTAACTAAAATCATTTTCACATATTTTTTTTCAAAACTTCAAGTTATTTAAATTTATGATAATTCATGAAGTCATACATGAAACCTATAGCTTAACATCATGGAAAATTAGCACCAATTGTCTTCACAGGATTAGTTTATATAAACGAATATTGCGAACAAATATGTACAATAAAATAAAAAAGGTTATAAATATATATATATATATATTTGTGCAAATAATTACTGTCCATATTAAGTACAAACTTATGGTACATTAAATATAAAGTTTATTGCTGAGGTAATTACATATAAAAGTTTTATATGAAAAATAATTGCTCTGTAATTGAATTTTTCTCACACAAAAACATATCTCTAAAAAATGCTGAAATGTTTCTATAATCTTTAATTTAATCAACTTAAAATTAGTACAACAAAGCAAAATTTTTCATCTTAACTTTTTGCTTTTTACATAAACTAATAATACAATTAATTTTTACTCAAATTGACTTCATTACTTGACATAATTTATCAGTTGATTAAACTTGAATTAATCTCTGTACTCCATCTTTGTAAATGGATAAAAAATCAAAGTTAACAAAAATACATTAATAACTGAATGATTAAAAATTGTTATACATACTCTTTCTTTAAACAAATTGCAAAATAATTAAGATTTTTTCAAATTTGTATTACTATATAAACAATCTTCAAGTACAGGACATTGCTAATATTTACTGATCTTATAAGAATTTAGTTATTTTTGGTTAAATAAAGAGTGATATTTGCTTTATTGCTTACTATTAGTATGAGATAAACAAGAAAAGTTATGGTAACTAATAAAATATATAAAATCAAATGCTTTACTAATAAGAATCTTTGCAAATCTCAAATGATCTGAGCAATCCAATCAGAGAAGATAGAAATATTAAATATTTGGTGACTGCAAATGAATACTTAGTTGAGTATATGCTGAGAGTACAGTACTGTACTGCTAAAAATAGGAAAGTACGGAAAGTATGGAAAGTTTAGTGTAACAGATTTGTTAATAGTTTTTACTTTACAAAAGTGTACTGCAACTTTTTATTCTGCCAACTCTTACTGTAGTACAATAGATGATACTTAAATATTTACTGAAGCAATAAAAAACTGCTAAAATGAGTACTAGCAGAAATAGAAAGATAATGAAGAAAAGCTTTTAGTAATAATAAAAGTGGGCTTTTTAATACTAAATTTTGAATTTCAGTGGAATTTAAAAGTAGAAAACGTAAGGAGTAATTAAAATCAAAACATGCAATGCTCTTTGAAACACATATAATTATTTTTTACTAGTTTTTGTGAGTACAAGCTAATGTTATATCAGATGAAAAGCTGTGATGGGAATACAAATTTAACCTCATCATCGATGTCGATAGGTGGTAAATCGTCAACGTATTCTGGTTGCGAGATAGCTATATGGTCATGCTTGTCCCAGCGGCGGTCAAGACGTGGTTTGATGTGCTGTTCGACCTTTCTCTCCACTTTAAGCTCAAATCCTCCCAGTGATGGCAACTTTTGTTCCTCAGTCTTCCATTTTTTATTTCCGCTGCTTTCTTTCAAGCCGCTAGATTCAATAACTGAATTTGCGCTTGCTTCCGCACGTGAGACTGGCGTGGTTTGCATTGATTTCTGGATATCAATTACTACAGGTTGTGTTGCATTCTCATCCATTAATCGTATTTCAATCCGCTCTATTGGTGTGTCCAATCGTTCAACTGCAAAATTGCCCATACTTTTGTTCACTGTAACTTTGCTCTTATATACTCTGTATAAAAAACTGTCTTTTTACAATATCAACAAAACTGTAGCAATAAGACAATAGTTATTTTAAAATATATTTTTTACAAATCTTTTACTGTTTTAATAATATTTTTGCTTTCGTATTAACTTTACAAGAACAAATGTGAAAATGCGCACTCAATCTTCATATAAGCAGATTAATATATTAGAAAGATTTAGTTTAGTTAGTTCTATTAGTTTTTAATTTAGTTTTTTATTTTTTGATATTTTAGTTTTTAATTTTATAATTTTTATTTCATGGAGATAGCTACAAAAGTGTGCTTACCTCTAAATGAGGTCGATGTATCGATAATTACTGCTTTTTCGCCATCAGCCAAGACTACAGAATCTACTTCATTGTTTGAGCTAAGTCGTAATGGCCCCGTCGAAACCAAATGTACTTCAATCAACAATACATTCAATATCCATGCACAACTGTTTAACAACATCTATAATATCATATCATCAGTTAATTATTTTAAATGCTACTTACAATGCTATTTGACTGCTAACTAAACACGACTACAAGTTACGATATATCCATTGTGAATACAATACTTGATTTTGCTTTTACATCTTTATGGAAATATTTATACTAAATTGAAGTAAAGCAAAAACTTAAATGCGAAAATTTATTTTGAATAAATTACAAAACTGGCAAATAAGAAGTTACCAATTGTATAATTCATTTTTCAAAAGTAAGAAGCAAAATGTTTTAGTTTAACTTTTTTGCTATTATCAGTACTTATCGATAGTTCATGCCTTTATAAGTATTTTTCATGCACAAATTGCAATTTTTAACTTATTTTCACACTAACAAAACGTGAAGATGATTTCATGCTTTCTAGCATATGAGAGCAGAACATTTTCATTACTGCTTCAATCATTTATTTTTGTATTAGCTTTGCAAAATCAATCTATAATGAACAAAAAAACGATCAAAAAACTATGAAAATGTTGAAGTAGTCAAGAACGGAAGAGATTAGCTTTCAAATCTAATTAATTAGCTAATGTGTACCCATTTTTGACTTCAAGTTTTCACAACAAAGTAATTTATTTATCAATCAAATCACTGATTTTCAAGTGACTTGTTTAAAAAAATAGCATTTGTTCGAAAATGAATTCAATTTTTCATGAAACATGCTCGATATGAAACAGAATTAATGAATATACAAAAACAACAAAAAATCAAATGCTAATTTTCTGCCAAACTTAAGTGCACTAATAAAAAGAATATGCAAATTTTAAAAAATTCCACATTTTATGCTAACAACAAACATAAATAACTAAAATTAAATTACATCCAAATTATTATAAAATAACAGTGGAAAAACAATTGAAAATAATTTTTGAATAATTTTGAATTAAATAAAAATAAATTTGCTATCACATAAAAAGTTGATTAAAAATTTTTTAAAAAATGAGAAATTTTAAAAATTTTGTGAAATTTAGAAAAATTTACAAAAAGTTGACAAAAATTGTGTACATATGTGATGAAAAAAATAATTAAAGAGAAAGAATTTGGTATGGTTTGAAATAAGTAAAACGATAAGAGAGAAAAGTTAAAAAATCTTTAAGCTATGAAAACTTTTTCATAACTTTTCACATTTTTGCATTTTTTTTTTTTTTGGTAGTATAAGAGATGAAAATGGATTTAAAGAGGCGAGCGAGCGATCAACCTATCAGATGGATCAACTTCAGCGATCAGATCAACTTTTGCTACGCCAAATGCACAAATTCTTACCTTTGTGCAACAGTTGTTGCATTTTAACAAGTTTCTCTTCAACTTTCCCTCTCATACTGCTCTATTCAATTTTCTTAAAAATGTACATACATTCATGTGGAGAAAGGATTTTCCACACTTTGCCTGAAAAAAACTTCTTAATTCCTTAGCAAGTTCGCAGATTTATTCTCAAAACATTCACAAATTATTCATAATTCTGAGATAATAATTCTGTTACATCTACATTTAGCATATTCTTCAAAAAAACATTCTCAAAAAAAAAAAAACAAAAAAAAACTGAAAATTGATGCAATTTTTGAGATAGCAAGTTTTAACAATTAATTTGTTAAACTTGTTATGAATTATTTTACTTGTGCTATTTTTAACCATTTCAAATTTGCGCATTCAAGCAGAAAACCAAATTATTTGTTAAAAATTTTAAATTCCAAAATAGATTCTAACATTAGCAAAGAAAAATATGAAAAAGTGAAATTAATTAATTAGTCTAATAAATTTTTCAAAATACTTAATGTTTACTTATTTATTATTATTGCTTAAACATTTGCAACCTTAAGTGCTAGTTTGTTGCTAGCAAACTTTTCAGACGATTACATCCATAATTTTTAACTTTTTAACGAGTTATAAATCTTTTCATTTATGCTTTCAGCATGTATTAACATTTTTCATTCCTAAAAATAATCACTTCTCTTCAAACATTGAAAAAAAACATTGAATTTATTGAGTTTTTCAATGTAAAATTTCATTTATCAGTTAAACATATCTGGATCTGGAAACATTTGATATGCACAAAAATCCAACTCTTTTGCAAATGACATAATTATCGATGCATGCTATGAGAAAAGGTCACGACTTTTGACCCATTAATGATTAGTTAACGCGTGAGAGAGAAGTCAGTTTGAGGTTTTTTTGCTTGGCAATTTTATATTGCAAACAACAACTTAGTGCGTTGTAACTGATTTTTTACAATAAAATTTTAATTTTCCGTCCATTTTTGTCAAAATGCAACATTGGAACCTTTTGTCAATTATTTAATAGAAAATAAAGTAATACTAAGAACCACTATTAATTTTCACGTGAAGTTTATCAAACACGTCTTTATTTAGATCCAAATTAATTCTTCTGGTGAAAATTGTAAAAATGATCGAAATGAAAACTATTCAGTGTTGCTTGATTATTGCGCTTGTACCATTTTGTGCATCAGTTTTGGATCTCTTGAAAATGACTAAAAAAGACAGAAAACCTACTAGCAATCTTTCAAAACGCTTTGCTCTACCAGGTTTTACTACAAATAACAGTACTTACTTCAGTAATTGAAATTAAAAACAAAATTTAATATTATTTCTATTTGTATTTTATTTGACCGCAATATTTTTGATATTAATCGTTGTTCAGCTTACTACCAAAACTACTTTGTATTTAAAAAAGTTTGCAAGCTTTTTTTATAAAAAATGATTTGCATAATTAATGCTAAAAAATCAGTTCTTGAGTTTATCTACAGATTGTCGTACTTGTCAACTAATTGAACCGCCAAACTGTTCAATTTTTATTGGCCGTAAATGTTCAATGCCTAAAATTTTATATAATTTCGCAGAGAAATGCTTGAAAATGGAAGTAATGTGTGGTACTAAGCAATTGGCGATTCTCGGAAGTATTGACGGGTATAATAACTGTTTGTCTTTCCAGTAGATTCGTTATTATATCTGCAAAAAAAAGTTTTATTAAATTTCTTTCTCACATTTATTTATTCAATTACAAGTTTTTATATGCATTATTTTAGTTACTGTACATGCTAATTGATAACTTCGGAAGCATTCATTTGAAGTACGATTCATTATTAGGAAGTTTTAATCGATATTGATATATTGAAGTTATTAATTTTATCTGATCAAAATATGTGATCAGTAATCAGCAAATTACTATTTGCATGCTAGCATTTTCATTGTAAGGAATTCAAATGTCTCAATATGTTGCGTCAATAATTTTTTTGAAAAAAATGCATTTGGTAGATTTAGTCAGTACTTAAATCTAAATAATACGTTAGTACGATTTATATCTTTTTCAGGAATATATTACTTTAATACTATATAAATACTTCTTTATTAATTATTGCTATTGTTTGCAGTGAATTCGACTTATATTTTCTGGCTAGACCACGTGGCAAGTGGTGGATAACAATGACTAGAGACAAGCATTTAACGGAAGGCATTCGAATGGTGTTGCTTTCAAACTGTACTGAAGGAAAACTTTGGCAGGCAGAAACTGAATTACATAATTATGGTTTACAAAATATAACTATTGAACGATTAATATGCTTTGAAAAATGATTGTTTGAAAGGTCAAAGTGGAAAGTGTTGTTATATTACCAATTCAATTTACTTCATTAAAATTATCATAGGAAGAGGAATTAATAATAAAAGCACTGCATAAGCTGACTTAGGATGAGCAAGACTAATTTGTTCTGCAAGTAACTAACTGTAAGTTGTAATACTCAAGCGAAATGCTTTTTACTTTTCTATTTGAAACAATTCAGAATTATATTTATTATAATTTTCAGTTGTTTTCAGTAATAATGCGCAACAATTGTTTTTTAAGTATTTTTACATTTATTGTCACATACATTCACTAAAAAGTTTTATTATTAAATTACTAAAAAGCAAAATAAACTAAGATGATACTATTTGTCAAAAATTACAGTGATGGCTCAGAAAAGTACAGATTTTACAAAATAAATTTTTCCATACTCATTTTTCTGATCTAGAAAGTGATTGCTCTGAGACATAAATTCAGGAGGTTTGACAATTACATTTTGCTACGACACTATTTATACTTTCCACATAATGACTGTTGACCTATTGATTTTTTTCGCTGAGGTCACTATTTATAGCTAGCAGGTAATCCCACATCACAGATAATGATACTTTAATACATCGTCTGTATTACTTGAGATTACTAAGGTTATACCATCTCTTTGACGTAAAACATTGACACCATATATTATTGGTAATTTTCGATTTAAAAAAATGATTCTTCTACAATTCTTGCTTATTATTACCTTTACGCAAATTTCTGAGACGTGTTCTCCGTCCATCAGACGTTTCTTTAATCGGAACTTCGAACTAAAACCACTAAAACCAGTTAAGGTACTTAGTGATCTCAGTGATATTATTTCTGATCTTGATACTAAAAGATATCTTTATCAACATTACGCCAGAAAACTCAAGAAAGGAGGTTAGTGCGACTTTTGCTTACAAAATTCCATAGGTACTCCATTATTTTTTGTTTTAGAATTTTAATAATACTTCTCAGAGCAGAAGTGATATTACCGATGTAATATCGCTTAATTTGAAAAGTATTGAAAAAGTTGAATTTATTGACATATG